AAAATCATATTTTTGGCATTTGTATGAGCCCAAATTTTGCACATACATTCTCTTCATCCTCATAATCAATCCTACGAAGAAAAAAAATTCAATTTTCACCCTAGATATGGTAAAAGTTAGTACCCATCCAACAATGAATCTCGACCATCCATTTGGTGAATTTCAAGATCTAGGCCTTAACAAATTCAAAATCACTTTTTTCTTTTTCAGCCTTATTAATCTAATGATGATAACACTATATAAAAATTTTGGGAAAAAAAAAGTTCATATGAGGCTTGTATCTAACCACTTAAATAAAATGGACAACTTATATTAATTGGGCCAAAATGAAAACTTTCTAAAGCATTATTTCAAAATTTTCTTATTTGTGATTGTTTTTCAGAATGAAAAGAGTGTACATTTAAAAATTCATGTCAAACAAGTATCTCTAATATGATTTTTGAAGATAGTTACATTATACTACTATACAACCGTTGCATGAAATCCTTCCCCTTTAGAGAACATTTGATGTATCCATCATCACATATGTGCTTTTATTAAATAATATTTAATTTATAGTATTTTCAGTTATATTATTTTCTAACGTATATCGGTGAACATGTTATTAAGGGAATATTTGACAATATTTTATTATCCTAATATTTCAAGATATTGTAGAATTTTATATAATTTTAATTGTAAAAGTTACTCGACCATATTTGATAGGATCAAATTGTATCAAGATATATCCAAATAACCGTTTAACATATGAATCATCAAAATTCAACTTTGAGTTGAAATTTCAGGGATAGCCAAATATTATATTGGGCGACATTCCACGTGGTTGGCGCTCGATCTCTCCCTTTGAGCCTGGCCCTTTATTGTCAACCAAAGACGACATTCTATCTCTTCGAGCCTGGCCCTTTATTGTCAACCAAAGACGACATTTCTCTCTCTTCCAGGCTAAGGGGGCAACAGGTCAGGTCCAGCTGGAGTTGGGCATGAATAGTATTCAGGTCCAAAATTTGGCCTTATACCCAAAGCTTTTTAGTCCCGGGTCTACGCGTTGGATCCCAGGTCTAGTCGTGAGAATATGAACAATGTGAGAAGTGTTGCCAATGTTGTAACAATATGAACACTTAGCATGTACCTAAAGAGATATGTTTGTCATCATATTACAGGTCAGGTCTGTAGTCGGACCTGGATTCAGACCCGAAGACTATTCGGGTCCAAAATTTGAACTCATCTGCAAACTCGAAATCGGGTCTATCAGTCGGGTCCTGGGTCTAGTCAGATTCATTGTCACCCTAATTCAGCCATTTCCCTCAACCATGTTCCTATCTACTCTCTCTCTCTCCATCTCTAATCTTCTTTCTTTGCATAGCTCTTCGAAGTGGGAGCGTAGCATTGAAACCAAGTTGGCCATTTTCTTGTTTATGAATTGGCATATCTCTCTCTCTCTCTCCAACCAATCCTCTTTTTCAACATCTTTTCTCATTCTCCAATTTTTTTTAGCATTTCCTTTTATTCCCCCAAACTCCATTTCTTGCATGTTTATTCCTGTCTGAATTATATCTTTCGGTCCTTTTTGATTCCTGTAGAGCGCATTTGTTTTTTAGAAAGATATCTTCTGAAAAGTTGAATGTTTTATTCTAGAAAGTTTAGATAAGTGATGACTATTGAAATTTTAGCTATTGGGTTTGATAACCTGCTGGAATATCAAAAAAGTTCTGGATATTATGTTTGATATACATATTAACCATATAAATATATAACATAATATAATATATAATATAATATGTTTTATATATTTTATTAATGTATATTTGTATTATACAATATATAATGTAATATTTATTATAATATAATATAATTTATTTATATATTATGTATATAATATTTGTTATACTATATATAATATTTATTTAATATAATAAATATATTATTTATAATATAATAATATATACTACATATAATATATAATACAATATAAGATATTTATATATTAAATAATATAAATAATATAAATATTATATAATGGAAAAGATAGGGTGCGCATCCTAGCTTAGATAAGCAAAATGCGGCAATGGCCCAAATTGAATCTGGCCAATTTGACGATCATGGATGTCTAGTAGTGTTTGAATTTTAATTTTTTTTTTACAAATCTAAATCACTTAAAATTTTATACGTTTATTCATAAAAAATAGGTGAATGTTCGAAAAATATTAAAAAAATATTTTACATGAAAAAATGACCAAAATACCCCTATAAAATTTCAAGGGTATTTTGGTCATTTTTACCGATAATTCTTTTTATATATATTTTTTTATTGGGTGCGACTTGATGAGAAGAACATACGCATAAAATTTCAAGTGATTTGGATTTGTAAAAAAAAATAAAAATTAAAATACTATCGGATATCATTGAACGTCAGATCCGCCCAGATTTAATCTGGGCCATTGGCGCATTTAGTTTATCTAAGCTACATTGAACACTTTAGCTTTTTCTTTATATAATATAATAAATATATATTATACATTACATATAAATACGTAGTATAATATAAGATATTTATATATTATGTATATAATGTTTATATTATTATTTACTATATTATATATATAATATAAATATATATTATATATAATATGATAAATATATATTATATATAATATTTAGTATAATATAAAATATTAATATATATAATATAATTAATATATAATATATAATATAATATAAATATATAGTAATATTATATATTATGTATAATATATAATCAATATATACTATATAATATAAATTATATTAATAAAATATATAATATAATATTATATTATATATTATAATATTATTATATAATATTATGTTATAGTAGTATTATATTATATTATATCATATTAATAAAACTAATATTATATATTTATATTATGCACAATGAATAGTGATCAACAAAAAAGTTATGAAAGATTAAGTTTTTACCCCCCTTAAGAATATAATCTTTCACTTTTTAGCAAAGGAATGAGAACTTTTGTTGAAAGATTAGTTTTTGAACTTTTCATGGAAAGTGTGAAACAAGCACATAACTTTTTCAAAATTTGAAATAATACTTTGTAAAAGAATACTTTCAGAAAAACAAACACGCCCTTAGGGTTTTGCATGGGCATTTTTTGGTCTGATTTTCTCTCTCTAAATCTAGCGATGGCGAAATGGGAGTTCTATTGCCTTTCTTATTACCAGAGAAGGGAGAAGTGAGCATTTCGATTACGGGGCGCGTCTCGACTCCAAACCTACTTTCCAAGTATGGGTATGGGTATGAGATCTATGGACCCCTCAATTCCGGGTCAGGGTATGGGTCCAACCCCTACTATTTGGGTCCGGATACGAGTCCAGCAGGACCTGACCAATACTTGACCTATTGCCACCCCTATTTAGAGTGGATATTGATCATTATAATCAACATAATGGTGTTCAAGATCCAATGAATCCTATGTTAAGTGGTCAAAAGAGGTTTAGAGGTCCTCCATCTTATCTTGATAATTTTATATCTACATGAGAAAGTAGATATACAATTGTATTAACCTAGATAAAATCGATGATCCTTTTGACTTCAATGACACGATGAAGTCACAAGAATCTAAGAACGGTTTAACGGCATGAGAGAAGAAATTGATTCTATTAAGAAGGAATCAAGTTTGGGATTTGTGTTCTCTAATAAAAAACCTATAGATTGCAAATAGGTACTGAAAAAGGAAGTTAAAATTTGATGGATTATTGGATAAAGGAGATTACTTAAAAGAATAGTACTCAACTATGTTGTCACGTATTCCCTTGTTGTAATATTTATATCCATTAGAATAATATGTGATTAAAAAATAATATTCAAATGGGATATGACGTTCTCTTTCAAATGGAATATGAAGTAAATAATTTTGACCATTGCGTATATGTTTTGAAGGGTGAGAGTAAATTCTTAATATTTTTGTTATATGTTGATATATTTGAAAATGACTTGGAAATGATTGAGAAGACCAAGTTATGACTTCTCGGTTTGAAGATAAAAGATATGATAAAGGCATATTATATCCTAGAGATAGAAACTAGAGAATGTTATCTTTCAGCCAAGAGAAATATCTTGACTCTATTATTAACAAATGGAATATTGCAAATCATTGTCAACTCCAGTTGAAAATGGAGTAAAGTTATCTAAGAAAGATTGTCTAATAGAAGCTTAAAAAAACCCTAATGTTCCATATACAGAAGCTATTGGTAACTTGGAGTATGCTACAAAGATGCACAAAGACCAGATTTGAGCTATGTTGAAAAACAACCAAAAGAATTCTACGATATAGAGAATGAAGCATATTAGATTATGTTTTTTCAAGTAGATAAGCTTGAAGTTTTGAAATATTTGGATGCATATTTTATTAAGGATAAGGTTGATAGTAAGTCCACCTCAAGATATATTTTTCTCTTTGGAGTTGTAGTTTTTGGTTTAGCAAAAAATAAGGATGCGTTACTTGATACACATAGGAATGATGATGAATTGCATGTAATATTACATGTTGTTACATCTTCTGAATAAAACATTTCATAGATAACTTGAAGCTGCAAATAATCAACGAGTCACTTCAATGCTTTGTAATTATCAAACTAGGAATTTCTTGTAATTACGCCGTCTGGATAAAATGCTTCATAGATGACTTGAAGCTACAAATAATCACCAGGCCGATTAGAATATTTTGTAATAATCAAATTGCAACTAAATTAATACAAAATGGAGCAAATAGCTCCAAAAGAAAACACATAGAGGTATAATTTTACTACATTCACGATGTAGTTGAGAAAAATGATGTACCTATTAAAGTGTCTCGTGGAACTATTTTCTAAGCACACTAGCTCAATGGGCTTTAAAAATGATTAATTCAATTGGCTTTCATGAGCTTTCATGAGTGACAAATACGCAGTGAACATGATATTTTACAAGTCTCCTCTGATCCACATGAATTTTCCTTTATGCTGAATAAGTGCAAGTTATCCTTCCTGCCTCGGCTTTGTTCTTGGTACTTATCCATGTGATAACAAATCAGTCCTCAACAATGGTTTAGAAAATAAGAACCATAACATGAAAGTGAAAATTACAATGAAAACATTCATTCCGAGAAAGTGCAAGGGTTTATTGCTAAGGTTGAACATAACGTAGGACGTAATATTTTTGGAAGGGCACATGATGCAAATCAATTGAATGGCATCTGGCATAAAGGAAAATCTTACATAGCATATAAAGAGAAACTTGTTTTCTTTGTCAAAAATTAAATCTTAATCTTCGAATCCTTCCAAAATCTTCAAAAGCTTGAAAGATTTCAACCGCATGTTAATCCTTAGCATTGAGTTTCCATATGGATGATGTATAAGATTCATCAGGAAAGCCAGGAACTGGACTTCATGGTTATTGCAGAGTATTGACTTCTGGAGATGGATGAGGTATATGATTCATCAAAAGCTCCTCAAAGCTTTTTGGTGGACGTTGGAAAGATGGCATGATTTCCAAGGACGAATGAAGTACCAAAACACGGCTACTATCCAGCTTAGTCAGAATGACAGGATCGCGGTCATAGTCCTGATTGTACCATTAAATGCTTTTAGCAACAAACCTAAAATTAAATAAGATTAATGATGAGACAATATCAATTTTCTTATGCAACAAATACTTTGGATCAATAAAAAAAGGTGCGGTTTGCATAGAGCCTATTTTTAAATAATGTTGAGAAATGTGGTTTCAACACTAGAAATCTTTGTGATAACCTGAAAATATATTTTCATCTTCATTTATAAAGTTTAAAGCTTAAAAAATGGTGTAGATCGACTGATCTATGAAACTTGAAAATTGCCAGTAAAAAATGCATTACAAAATGCATTATTTCAAAACTTGAAATCAAGTTTTTTCCTCACGTCCAGGCATCTTGATGTCGAGATGACCAATTTGAGGACTTTTGGGCATCAAAACAATCTCGTCTAGCAAAAGTTTTGAGGTAGGCTCCAATGTGATTGTTTAGAGCCTCGACTCTATATAGACTTTTCCCCATGAAAAATCAGTCATACGTGATAAGGGCGCTATTCCCACAAAAACATATGGAAGTTGAATTTGGATTTCTGAAAGTTTTGAACTAGTCATAGTTTGACTGGGCTGAAATTTTGATCAATAGAAACAGTCATATCAGCTTTTACAAGGCATAAGAATTTCCCCTGGGATGTCATTTTTTCCCCTTTTTATTACTATTAGTATTATTATTAGGGTAGGCATAAGAGTCCCCTGGGAAGTCATTTTTTTCCCTTTTTATTACTATTAGTATTATTATTAGGGTGTGGTTTGTACACAGCCAAGGCTCTAAACAATCAAAGTAAAGCACAGCTTCAAATAGTGTTGAGAAATGTGGTTTCAATACTGGAAATCTATATGATAGCTTTAAAATATATTTTCATCTTTAAATATAAAATTTAAAGCTTAAAAAATAGTGTAGATCGAGCAAATCTATGAAAATTGATGGCCCAAAAATGCATTACAAGATGCACTATTTCCTATCTTGTCAAAAAAAAAAAAAGAAAAAAAAAGATGCACTATTTCGAAAATTTGAAATCCATTTATTTTTTCATGTCCATGCATCTTGATGGGGAGATGATCAATTTGAAGATATTTGGGCATCAAAATAACCTCTTCTAGTGAAATTTTTGAGGTGGGCTTTAATTTGATTGTTTAAAACCTCGGCTCTATGAACTTTTTCATTATTATTATTATTTATTATTAAAAAAAATTACGTAAATATCCATTTTAGTTTCTGTTATTACCAAAATACGGAATATTTTTTGTTATTACTAATATGTCAGTTTTTTTGGACTTGATAACAATTTTTTTAAAAAAAACAAAACTACCGATTTTCAGTTTTTCAAAAACCCAAATCAGACCAATTTTAGTATTTTAAAAACTGAATTTTTTTTTTCTCTATGCTTGGTTTAAAGGCGATTGCAAAATGCCATTATAGACCTTCTATGCTGTCACCTTCGAATGGTTTCGATAGGCCCTCTCAATATGACTCAGTTTTGGCTTGTTTACATCAGAGGAGAATGGAAAGCTTCGGTGTGCTGATGACCCAACCCCTGATGCCCTACCTTCAAGAAGAGATCGATCGTCTCTTCAAGCTATGGGAATATCAAGACCAGGCCGAATTCCTCTCTCAAGATGCTAGGTGAAACTTACCAAAAAAAAGACACATGGGTGAAGGGGAGAGAGAGTTCCAAATAAAAAACCATTTTTACTTGTGTAAAGTAGAGAGAGAGAGGTAGAGAGAGAATATGCAGAGGTAGAGAAAGTGAGGTAGAGAGAGAATAAGTAGAGGACCCACAAGGGAGAAAAGTTTCGGTTCTTGAAGAACCAAAATTTTTTCGGTATTTGAAAACCAAAATTGGCCTAATTTTGGTTTTTGAAAAACCAAAAATGGGTAGTTCAATCTTTTTTTTTAAAATTGTTATTAAGTCAAAAGAATGGGCATATCAATAATAACATAAAGTATTTGGTATTTTGTTAAAACGGATATTTACGTAATTTTCCCTTATTATTATTATTATTATTATTATTTCTTCGAAGATTTTAGATTATGGGTTACCATAATTCGTAAGTCTAGGATTTAGTTAAAATATAAATGACATTATTTGTAATGTATTATAGAAACACAATTACATAAATATTCATTTTTTTAATGTAAATCCTTGTTTTTTGAATTCTTTGAAAATGAAGAATAGAAACATGAAAAAATTGCTGAATTGAGTCCCCAAAGTCTCAAGTTGCCTCAGAATTGGACACGTTTGATTTGCGACTCAAGTCCAATATTTTGGACGTTGATAAAAAAACAAAAGTACATTTCCTCGAAGCAACTTAATTGTGAAAATGAATTCTTCATGAATAATTTAAATTAACAGTCCAGAGTTTACCTTCTCTGTGAAAACAACTATAGGTTTGACTTCAAATCTATTCTCCAATTTTCTGAGCCTCCTTTTGATCATGTTAATGTCCTAAAGCAAAAGAACGAGGCAAGGTATTCAAAATAGCCTAATAGGCCATTCAAAAGTTTAAGTGAAATCAAGAAATGAAAGTTTAAGTGAAAGCAAGCATCTGAATGGTACAAATGAAAGTATAAGTGAAATCAAGAAATGCATTGCAAGACATTGACTATTTGGAACAAGAACCATCAATCAGGACAACGATAGTAATCAAGAAAAACCCAATGACCTTGTTGTCTCAAACATCTGGCACTTGTTTTCAAATTATTTGGCTCCTTTACTGACTATTTTTGTCATCATTACCAAAAAAATGGCCATATACTTACTAGACCATTATAGCTATCATGGAAGCCTCGGAAAACAAAGATAGTAGATACTATAATGCGTCATGAACAGGCAATAATGGCAGCTTCATGCATGAAGTCATTACCAATAGTATGAACATATGTGCAATGAATGGTTAGGGGAATGAATATATAGGTGACCAGACCACCCATGTGAACAAAAAAATTCCTATGCGGTTGCATTGGAGTGCCTTACTGGTTCTAAGACTGCTATCATAAAAGCATATAATGAGGAACCAAGCATCCTGTAGGCCTAAAAGACATCCAAAATGACCTGCATAAACTGTTGTACATCAAACAACGATGATGATGAATGATAGTAGTCATGTTGTTTCTGTTGAAGAAGCCTGCATCAATAACGATTGATTACATGAACTCGGGGAGTAACAAATTACCATCTGGAAAACTTCTCAAACCAGAATTAGTAGCCCGTTCATATAATTCAATGTCGTGGGAATATTATAGATGCCTGGGACAGAGAGCAGTAGATCAGGAGATAGCAACATGATCTCATCACGTAGCTCTAGGAATGATCATCTTGGCGATTGAAGCAAAAGTCTCTGGTTGGACAACATAGCGCTTGGCAATGAGTCAGGATTCACCAAAAAAGAAGAAACCCAACCATTTGGGCCATCACATTATGCACCCAATAAAACCATTCTTCAAGGGCAATAGAGGAATAAAATCCCATGCATGTTATTTTGTTGAAGGCACCAGGCTCTTCAGCGATACCAACTAAGAAAGAAGAAAAAGAAAAACTAATGGCTCAACAGGAAAATTGATGCAAATAAAAATTAGGAAAAAATTTCAAAATTATAATTTTTTTTTTTTGTTGAATTTATCATTTTAGGAATGAGGATTTTGGTGTGTGAGTTTTAGTGGGGCCTGAGTTTTCACCCAGGAAGGCCCGTCTTTTGGTTTAGGGAATAACATATAGATAAGGTAAAGATCTTTTGTTTTTAGAAATAACATATAGATAAGTTAAAGATCTTTAGTTTAGGAAACAAAGAGTAATAGTTATTTTTTATTCCTAGAAAGGCTAACGTGAAGCTCAGAGCGAGAAAATAGGGAGAAAACATTTAGGTGGTATTTGAGAGAGAAGAAAGTGAGAGAGAAAATAGGGAAGAAATAGAGGTGGTACGTGAGAGAGGAGATTATTTTTATGAGGTTTTTTTATTTGTTTTTTTATTTTATTTAAAGGGGAGATGTCCCTTCATTAAAAGGTGATTAGAGAATGAGAATTGAGTAAATTTGATCTTGTAAAAAGATCTTTTTGGGGTAGATTCCCTTACAGACCTTGAGAGAGGGTATATTATCTTAAACCCTTCATATTTTTATTTTTATTATTCATGCTACTATTTCTCCTTGCATCAGTTCGTATCAAAGCAAGTAAGATCCAAAGATCCAACTTTTTTTGCAATGGCACCGAAAGCTAATCGCGATCGCTTAGGACAAGCTTTTGAAAATTTGACCAAAGTCGTGGAGGATTTTAGTGACAGTTTGACCAAATAAATCTACAGTTACAACGATTGGAAACAACATTCATCGTGAAGAAGGTGCTCACCACCACATCGATCTTTCACCAGCTAGTCCTACGACAAACCCAGGGTGTTGATCCTGATTGTAATAAAGAAATTTATAGATAAGAAACATGTATTCAGCTCGATCTTCCCAAGTTTTACGAGGAACTTGAAAAAAAAAAAGAAAAAATCATAATTGAGCCTGAGATCCCTGTGTTCTACTTTGAGATAAGCTCGAAGCATTTGATGAATCGGTTTAATGAAGAAATTGAAGAAAAAGTGCCGATGCACATAGTAGGACTACATCACCAATTAGTAGAGTTCAAGATCGAGGTCGAGCTTCTCCCAACCCCGAGAGGATAATGTAGATAAAAATTAGGAAAAAATTCAAAATGATTATTTTATTATTTTTGAATTTATCTTTTTAGGAATGAGGATTTTGGTGAGTGAGTTTTAATAGGGCCTGAGTTTTCACACATGAAGGTCTATCTTTTGGTTTAGGGAATAAAATATAGATAAGGTAACAATCTTTTGGTTTTAGAAATAACATATAGATAAGGTAAAGATCTTTTAGTTTAGGAAATAACAAGTGATAGTTATCTTTTATTCCTAGAAAGGCTAGCGTGAAGCTTAGAGAGAGAAAATAGGGAAAACATTTAAGTGGTACGTGAGAGAGAAGAAACTGAGAGAGAAAATAAGGAAGAGATATAGGTGGTACGTGAGAGAGCAAAGGAGATTATTTTTATGAGTGTTTTTTATTTGTTTATTTTTTTCTTATTTAAAAGGGAGATGTTCCTTCATTGAAAGAAGATCACAGAATGAGAATTGAGTAAATTTGATCTTGTGAAAAGATCTTTTTGGGATCGATTCCATTGCAGACCTTGAGAGGCTATATTCTCTCAAACCCTTATTATATTTTTTTATTATTATTCGTTTTACTATTTTTCCCTGCATCAAAAATGGATTGCAATAAAAAAGGAGACAAAAATATTAAGAAAAAAAGGTCAAAAGAACTATAGCAATATAGCAATCAAGATGCTTACTGTTTATATGAAGATCCATAAAGCAACTCTTGGGATCTCTCAAATCTGGTGTGAAAATTAAGAAAACATTGATCTTGAAAGCCCCAATCTTCTAGGAAGATAGTTTAAGAAAATGGGGCATCAACTTCCAATTCAGAGAGAGGACGAGTCTTATGAACTCATCTCTATGGATTGTCGGCAACGTGGGCTGAATATACAGCAATGTTAAAGAAAACTTGTTCTTTAGTATTTTTGTATGAAAAGATCAACAAACTATCTAATCTAAAGAACCTCTATAAATTGTCGGCAAAACAAGCTGAATATATGGCAATATTAAAGAAAACTAGTTCCTTAGTATTTTTGTATGAAAAATACTATCTAATCTAAAGAAGAGAACTAACTGCCAGAACTTGAAAAGAAAGAAAGCGTGCGTGCGCGCGTGCACACACACACACACACACACACATACATATAATGGAAAGAAGATGGGATAAAAATAAAGAGAACTAAACTGAAAAAAGGGAGTAAAAGAATATCAAAATAAGAATAAAAGAAACGAAACAAAGATCTAAGCTAAGAAAGAAAGAACGAAAAGAAAGCAAAATATAAAGAAGAGACAAGCCAAGTCACCAAGAATTCAACAGTGGGGTGGAGCCTTGGACTAGAGGTATTTGTATATTGGTCTGCTCCAACTTGAAAAGAACTTGAATTGAAACATGATGTCGATAAATTGATGTTGAAAAGTTGAATGAGTTGAAAGCTTGAAGTTATGACAAGGTCTAGGTTTTAGGGTCTCAATTTGGGGCTAGAGCTAAATCTAGGGAGTTTTGGGATAACTAGGGCTCTTTGGAACCTAATTATGGTTTCGAGGAGCTAAATTAAGGTTTTGAGAAGAATTAGAATAAGCTGCAATTGCTGGAATGGGATTGGGCCTTAGGTATTTTTTATTTAGCAAGTGAACCACTTGCATGGGTTCACTGAACCGCATCTCGATCGCCTCCAATTCTCGAACTAGCACTTTGAACGTGTGCACGTGCTCAATTATCTTCCACCTTCGGCCATCTTTTGATTATTGGACTTTTTCATGGCCAAAGTCTTCCTCATGAGAGAAGGATCAGCAAATTCCTTCTCGAGTCGATCATACATCCCTTTTGCGGTTTTGATCAACTCATACTCGGATGCCATACAAGTCATGCATAGCCATGAGTAGGATATGCCTTGCAAAGATATTTTTACGCTCCCACTCAGCATATGCATCTCTCATAGTCTGAGATGCATTTTCTCTAGGCTGAGATGGTGGAGTATCAGTGAGGATTTTATGCAAACCCTCCTCATAGAGCACATAGCCTATCTTGCGCTTCCATGAGCATAGTTTGCATCATCAAACCTTTTGATCTTCAAAATTTTAGTAATAAAACGTCTCGTAGCCATGTATTCTTATCTCAAATATATAAAAAGACTCAAATAACAAAATAAAACAAAATAATGGCAGCAAGAAATCCTAGCTTTGTAACCAATGCAAGTTGGATAGGGTGAACGAGTACGGTTTATGTACTTTAAAATTTTTCTTTTTCTCAACCGGCTAGAACACTTCCAATAGTCCAAAGATTACAAAATAAACTCAAAAGAACTTAAAAGAAACAATAAATGGATTGTTACTTATTGCCACTCAATACAACTCCTTTATTGCATAAAGGAAATTACATAACCAATGACTTGGGAATAAATACACAAACTGCAATAACAAAAAATTAAAGTGCTAAAAGATTATCTCAATTGGACTTGATACACCCAACTAGGGTCTCCTCCTCCGATGGTGCACGGGATTAAGGTCTTTCTTAGATCTCACTATTGTGGAAGCCTTGGCTAGAAACCTTTCAAGGAAGAGAGTAATGTGGAACAAAATCTAGGTCTCAAAACTATGTGGGTGTGGTGTGCCCCGCTAGGCTCAATAGTTGGGGCGTGTCCCTCTTTTTCTTTTCAATATTTTCTTAAGTGTTGAGGGTGGTTAGAGAGATCAGAGAAAGAGAGAGGGTGGCGTGCCACTCTTGAGGAGAGAGAGAGAGAGAGAGATGTGTAAATTAAAGTACAGAGATGGGACCCTAATTGAGACAATATATAGAGTC